GGACTTCAGCTCCCAGAAATCCTGGCCAGCAGAGGTGGTGGTGAAGGCTTCTGGGAGTTGTAGTCCAAGAACATCTGGAGGCCCAAGGTTGGGGACCACTGATCTATAGGACTGCTGGTGGTATGGTTGCTGGAAGTTGAACGGGCGACGCCAGTGGTTGCGTTGGAATCTAGGCTGCTGAGTAGAGTAGGATCGGGCTGTTTTGCGGATTTTATGCAGGTTGTCCGTAACCTTATCTGTTTTCTCATTAAAAAGGCCAACCCCATCAAATGGGAGGTCCTCTATGCGGGGCCGAGCACCATCGGTGATCCCCGCTGAATGGAGCCACGCGTATCTCCTGAGGCCAATAGCAGAAGTCATGGCCTTAGAGGCAGCATCCGGCATATGCCAAGAGGCCAAGCATTGCTGTTTAGCCAAACAGATGCCTCTAGATGTGTATTGAAAACCTCAGCCCTAGCATCCTCAGGAGAGGCCTGGAGGACTGGGAGAAACTTGTTCCACAGTTGCTTCTGATATGCCCCCATGGCAGCCTGATATTTCAATACTTTCATTATGAAGGATGCAAGAGAGTAGAGACGATGGCCCAAGATGTCCAGTTTTCTACCTTCCCTGTTTGTAGGTGTGACAGTAGAGTTCCCAGCCCAAGATTGGTTAGACTGCACGATAATGGAATTTGGGAGAGGATGCTTCACCAGAAAACCAGTGTCATTCCCGTGGGTTCTGTAATGATTTTCAACATGCTTGGAAATCTGTAAAGAAGTAGCAGGCTTATCCTAGGACTCCCTAATTAGGTCCAGCATAGCTGGAATGAAAACAAGACTCAACGGAGGTGATTTCTCCTGATTGATCTCGTCGAAGACGAGATCTTGCTTAGGAGGAGGGGGCTGCTCGATATTGAGCTCCAAGGGCTTCACCATGCGGAGTATCAACTGCGAATAAGAGGTGAAGTCCTCGGATGGAGAGGGGGGATGGTTATCCACCACGTCTGAGTCCGAGACTGGAAGATTTGAAGGAGACTCCCTAGAATCCTCAGAGGGCTGATCTTGAACATCTGAGACTGAAGAAACCGAAGAACCTCTATAAGAAGGAAGGAAAGAGGGCGAGCGGTGGTGAGACCTCGATGTAGAAGCACCAACCCGGGGAACCCGTACTGAAGGAACACTTTCTGGTGAAGCCAGGAACTTGCGAGAAGAAGAGACCTGAAGAGATGAAGAGGGAACTCGAGCAAGAGACTCACTTGGCCGTGGTACTGAAGCCGATGGGACCGATTATGTATGGGAGCATTTCAATGCCTGAGAATCCTGACCAGAGATGTCAAGTTGCTCTGAACGATACTTAACAGCTGGCCTGTGTGGGACAGGCAAACCATGATCAACACTGTAACAGTCCTAGTGTCGACATCAAGGCAGAGGAGAAGGCAATGGAGACAAGTCAGAGGGGGAAGCATAAGCGTAATGCAC